GGGGGGGGGGGGGGAATACTGCTGGAATACTGAGGTGCTCTCTATGGAGGACACTACTCACAACTTCCTGGAGTCAATCTCTCACTAAGACCTAGAAGGAAAGATTTTAGTTTAATAGGGGTCCCAGGACTTTAGAATTAAGGTAATGCAGTAGATTTGTCTTCTGATGGATTGGCAGGTGTGATTTCAAGCCACGTAACTAGAGGCGGCACGGCTAGGACTAGTGATCAGATTCCACTCTATTAGGGTTCTCCAGAGAAACAGTGCCCCTCTTCTGACCTGCACCCTGCATAGGCTCGTTCATTTCCAACAACTCCCTTCTTCCCTAAACTACCCTTGGGAATTGAGTTCCTGGGACTAAGACCTCTTCAAAGGGTACCCCAATGGTTGGATCCAGATCACAGAAGGGTCCCCTTTAAGGGTGATGACAGGTAGGACAGACAGGCAGAAAACATAATTTGAAGTATTTTTTTTTTATATACAGAATACAGGAAAGTTTCTGTAAAGTCTAAAACATTACAATTACTATGTACATTGGTACTAGTTGTAGGGGTGGGAGGAGAGGGGGGAGCTGGGGTGGAAGGAAGAGGAGAAAAGTGGCAAGAGAACAAAAAAAGGAGACGAAACAGGTTTACGACAAAACATTTTTGCTACAATAGACAATTTGAGAAAACGTTCTAACACATGTAGTACTGTACACAGTTTTTAAAAACATTGAAAAAATGTCATCACTAGATGTATTTACACAAAATCCAAATACACTTTTCCTTATTTGAAATAAAATAGATGGACAGCCGGAAAAAGAATTCATTTCTCATTTGTCCATAATACACAGTAGCTACCTGTAGTGCAACTGCTGCAGAAAGAGAAAGTAACTCAGAGGGTGGGAACCACGGAAAGAGGGTGGGTAGCGATCTTTATATTAAATAAAACAATGATATTGTATAGATTTTGCTGTATGAAAACTGTATTTTTTTCTTTTAATATAAAACTATTGTCACTGCCACAAAATAGAACAAGTTTCTGATTATTTTACAACGGCGGGCGAGGGGGAGGGAGCAGGAGGTGGGGGGAAGGGTTTGTGTTGGAGGAAGTGTCCAGACCACAGGTCTTCCCTTCCCTGCCCACACTGTTCCTCAGCTCGGGTCTGCCGCTTTCCCATGAAATGTTGAGTACAAATATATGTGCAAATGCCCCCTAGAACTTGAGAAAAGAAAAAGGATTTTTAAAAAACAGTCAAAAGTTTTCTTCATTTCATGCAAAGATTGTAGTTGAAGGGTTTCTGGTAGAGTATAGAAAACACCCAGGCTTGGTTTGTGTACATTTTTGCATTGCAGGAGTCTTAGGCGGGTATGTAGGCTGGTGGCAGGGTAGCCACTAACCCTAGGGAACGGAGTTGGAGCGCAGCACAGGGCCCTGGTGGGGCTTGAGGGAGAGCTTCTCGGCCAAGACCCCATCCTGCAGCAGGCTGGCATCGCCTTTGGGCTGTTTGGTCGCAAACTCAGTGATGCTGAAGACAAACTGCAGGCAGCCCAGCTTGATGTAGCTGCCATGGTGCAGCAAGGCCGTGCCCTCCCAGCCGGCCCCACTGCCCCCAATCAAGCTTGAGCTGCTGGCTTTGCAATTGCAGGGTCTCCGCTGTGGCCCCTGGGCCTGGGAACTCATCATGGCTACCTCTTCACTTGGTTCTTCATCTTGTTTCTGATGTCGGCAGCGCCCTGGGAAAAAAGGAGATGGTCACATGAGAGGACCAGTGAGCCAACCCTCTTGCCCGTTGGCCAGGGCCAGCCCCCCTGCAACTCTCCATTTCAACTGCTACATGACTAGAGGTAAGAGACACCCAGAAAGGGCTGGTGGAGCCTAAAGTCCCCGAAGAGGTCTGCGTTGTATATGCACGTGGGTGCTCAGCACTGGCTTCTCCAAGGCCTTCCCTGAGCCCACGCGCAAGGACAGCCTGGCCAGTGGGACGGGGAAGCCAGAGACTGCAGGTTGTCGGCAGCATGGCAGAACCACTGTAACTGAGGCCTCAGCTTTGTGGCCACAGACCTCTGCTCCAACTTACTGATGACACTCTGCACTTTGGCAACAATACTGCTTGGGGGGGTTGGCGGGGTCTTCTCAGAGAAGTCACAGGAATACAGCACGTTGTCCACCGTTGTCCCGTGCTCACTGTAGTTTAACAGCTCATAATGTTTGGTATTCTGAAGAGGAGGAGGGGAGATAAGATGTGTGGTCTGTTGTGTGGGGCCTGGAGCTAAGGGGAGAAAGGACACACAGAGAAGGCTATGCTGCTCTACCTCGGGAGTATTCACATTCTTCTCCTGTCATGGCCCCAACCTTTCAGAATGGGGCAAGACTCACCTCCTTGGGGAAGCCTGTCTTCCTAGTGTCCCCAACCCCCTGCTCCATTCTTCTGCCTCCTCACCACTGGCTCTTGTTGATATGGCATTCACAGGCAGATGACAAAACCCACAGGGACAATCCAGAGCTCAGCTTCCTTTTACGCTCCCCCGCTTAGGGTGGACTCCCCCCGTTGTGCGTATGACCAACCTCAGGTGAAACCATAGCCTTGCTCCTGAAAACAAGTACCTATTGTAGGCTGCCCTTTCATACCAAGACTTTCTCTTCTATGTATGACAGTGGGGGAAGAAGAGAGGACCCCTTATCTTCCTCCTCCTCCTCCTCGCAGGGCAGTGAATGAAAACCAGCAAGGGGGAGAGGCCGTAGGCTGGGAAAGCTCCATCCCAGTCCATCTCCGTTCCTCACCTCATCATAGAATATGCAGGCGTGTTTCCCGGACACGTAGTTACAATGACCATAGTTTGTAAGGCACACATCCATGTCAGCTCCTGCAAAGCAGCAGGAGGAAAGGAAAGCAGAGAACAGATTACAAGGTGTATGTGTCGGGGAACATAAGGAGGAAAACAGTTAGCTTCTGGTTGGCTGGGTGAGTGGAGTAGAAACTTTGAGAGGCAGGTAGCTCAGGACCTCCTCCTATTTTTCAACAAAATTAGGTGTCTTTTCCAATCCTCTGCTAAACAGCTGTCTTTGTTAACTGGTCTACTTTAGAACATGTGACTGCTACCCAGAAGCACAGTGAGTTACTGAAGAAGATGGGAACACAACATACTGATGCAGGGCTTTATA